AAAAAAAAAAAAAAAAAAGAAAAATCGCCCGCTTGCCTTTTGTTCCTTTAATTTAAGGAACTTTATCGAATTTCCATAAAATATCACCGGCATCCGTCTTCATTCTTTTCCGCGGGCAAACGGACGTTCAACGCGCGAACGAGAGAGAAAGAGAGAAAGAGAGAGAGAGAGAGAGAGAGAGAGAGAGAGAGAGAGAAGGAGAGCAGGATCGGATCGTTGACGCGCGTTTTCAACAAGCAACGCGCCACGTTGTTTCGAGTCCGTTGTCTTTAATCGAGCATCTTGACGCTAATTTGCTCTTAATTGCTCGGCGCTCGCGGCGCGTAAATCAAAACTTAACGAGAGGGAAGGAGGGGGGAGGTTGATGAAAGAGGGAAAAAGAAAAGTCACAGCAACTCTGCGTGGGAGTGCAACTCTTCCGGGCAAGAAGCAGTTGGGGAGGAGAAAAAGGGAGGAAATAAAAGAGAGAAAGTATGCTAACGGGGAGAATCAAGTTTCCTCTTCAGAGGAAAAAATTAAATAGTTAGATGGTTAATGTATCGTGTGACTGGCCGTGTTTTATATTTTACGCAGAGATTCGTCGCTAGAGGACATTTAAAGCTACGTGTTTTCGAAATTTATATATACATATATAAAAATTTATATATAAATATACGTGTGTATGTATGTATTTCTGGCGCAAGTTCACTCAACGCACCGACAAAATAGCAAATTATGCGATCAATTTATTTGTCTTGCCTCCAACAAGCATTGTCTGCGAGCTGAATGATTAATTCATTCCGGATTTATATTTATATTTATATTTAGTTAGGTAGACGATTTTGATTTATTTGCACCGGATATTTGATATTTTGTTTTTTAAATGTATACGAATAAACCTCGCTTCAAAATGAACAACAATAATTCAATAGATGTTCCATCAGATGATTTTTAAATAATTTCGGCTGTTAAACTTGGTTATCCTCGGAGACGTAACGTGATTTTCTAAATCATTAGTCACATTTTCTTTCTTGCACAAATTTTTTTCCTTTTTATAATAGTATTCATATTATCGGTATAATAATAATAATAATAATAATAATAATATTATATGTATATATAATATACAATTACAAATTTGTATGATATATATATACAATCTAACTAATATTCAGAATGTTTTGAGAACCATGATACCTGCAAAGGTGATGATTCTACGTCGGAAAAGAAGAATAAACTTTTCTCATTTAAGATTTCGTTTTTTCAGAAAATTGGAATTTTAAGCTAGATATATAAATATTAGATATATAGGATACCTATAAGATATATAGGTATTAATAGTAACTAGCAAGTAGAATTACATTAATAACAATAATATTTTAATACCTTCCTACAAATGAAAAATGATGCATGAACAGAAATCAAGTATATATTCTGTCAAACAATATTAATAAAATCCCGAATTTTCATCTTTTCGTAATAAACGGACAACAGCGAGCCAATTATTTTACGCGGGTGCGTCGATTTTGGAAACAATGGAAATTATTATTATTGTTTTATTTCTCATTATTTTGCATAGGCAAAGCCTCGAGCTTTCAAATGAAACAGCATGTTTCAGCCCGAATTGAGTTACAAAGCAAGCGAAAAATTACGAGGCAAGTTAAAAAAATATGAAACAGAGGAGCAGGTAACAGAAACGAGTCTCGTGTGTAAAAGCGTATGATCGAGTCGGGAAACGCATGGACGCGTGCTCGACAAACCCCCGGCGAAGATTTATAGACGGCGGACTGGTTATCGATCGTGGAACTCCTGCTTGTATCGCTAGTAATTGGAACATTTATGAGCCAATCAATCACTTTTCTCGTTGCAGTTCCCCCTATGCTGTGGATACCGCACCAATTGGTCGGCGCACCCTTGGACCATGCCGTTACGCTGGAATGCTACACAGAGGCTCATCCGACTTCTTTGAATTACTGGACCAGGGAGGACGGTCTGATGATTCAGGGGAGCAAGAAGTACAAGACTACCTCCACGCCGGAGAAACCCTCGTACAAGACGCATATGACGCTCACGATACACGATTTGCAGGTGGGTGCAGCTGGATTTCTCGTTTAGAGAAGGTTAGAGAAGATTACGTTGCAAGGAATTCCTTCGAGCTGTCATAAATCTCATTCATGTTAAACTTTCGTATTAAATTTGAGGTAGATAATTTTGGAACTTCGGTGTTCCAAATTTGAGAGAATTATCGATTAGAATGTGAAGGTGTTATCGTTTCTTCACTTATGAATGTCTTTCAAATGATTTATGAATCAAAAATTGTTTAGCTAGAGTGAAAACGTGTTTTTAATCATTCTGAAACATGGATTATTATATATTCATTACACATTCATCATACGATATTATGTATTGTTATTATATAAATATAAAAGATTTATCTATATAATATTATATGTAATGATAATTATACATTTTTTCTCCTAAAACTTTTCTCTAACTTTAGCCCACGAAAAAGTATTATCCGTTGTATTACAATTGTGTTGCAGATGAATCTATCATGTTTCGTTTTTCGGTCAACGTTTGTCAATAATTAACGAAATTAGTTAACAGCAGACGAGACTTATTAGTCATGCAAACGCTCTGCAGTAATACTTATTAATCATGATTCGCGAATAAATCATCACGTTACGCCATGAATGAGTTACACACATTACACATGTGTTTACTCATATTATTTATGTAGGTTCGAAAAATCTACAATGCTATAATATTAAAGAAGGAAGAGAACGAAAATGGCGAAATAAGAATCTCTTCTAACCAGAGATTGTTAATAGATTCATTAGTAAGGTTATTATACCAAGTTTGCGTTTTAAATACTAGAGGGTGGCAGTTAGAAAATATATTTCCAATAAAAAGAATGGAAATTTTCGAAAAATTGATATTTTGTCGTACATATTTAAAAATTTGAAAATTTCGAAAATGTAAATAAAATACTTGATCAAATATGAAATATAACGTTCAAAATAATTTTCATATGCAGAGACATTTACAGTACATATTTTTGAATGTCTGTATTCAATTTTTCTTGAATCGAATAGAGTTTTAATGGTTCGTTGTGCAGCCTCAATGAATTTAGAACAAAAATTTATAACAAGATATGAATTAATTTGTTGAAATGCAGAAAAATATCAAAATTATGCCTTAAAGATAATATATATATATATATATATATATATATATATATATATATATATATATATATATATATATATATATATATACACATTCTGAAATGTCGAAATAAACTGATAATTTTATAATCTCTACTTTGATACATACAATTTAATATCAAAAAACTAGTTGTTATATCGTTCGAAAATCCTATTAATTCGGACACTTCTTATCAGTTTAAATTTTTATTGTGTTGTATGTCTTTTGAAATATCATAGTGCAGAAACTCGTAATTTCAAGAATTATAATAAAGCATACGAAACTCACTCGCCAATATGTATCTTCTCTGCGAAGAGAACCTACTAACGATGTGTGATCTGTGCAAAGTTCAGCTGATAGTGGAGCACATCATTGTCAAAGACAAACAATGAATGGGCAATTCAGTATAGGACCCATCTAGAGAGACAATTCGAAAGACAACGAATCGTTCAAATCAACTACCACTGTTTCTAAAACATTCTAATTGCACAACTGTACAATGAATCGTATAATAACTCATTCAAGCGATCAACGCGAGACTAAGTAATCCAACTTGAAGAAAAATTAATACCACCATACTCCGCCGAAAGAATCGGAAAAATCGAGATACGAGTTCGCGCCGATTGTTGAATTTCGTTCGACGCGTTTTAAATATTTTAATATTCGTTCGTCGATGAATCGGAAACGAGCAGTTGCATCTCGATGAAACAAAAAGCCCAACGTATCGACGCGAAAAATTACCGATTCAATTGCAACATCTGGCAAAGACAATCTGTTTGTTGCGTTCGTTGGAACGTGGAAAATCGTTTTCCAAGGAAGATTGAAATAAAATTATCTCCCGGAACGATGAATTCATCGAAACAAAATTTGTTTATTCCTCGTCTAAGGAATCGCGGTTGCTAATTCAACTTATCAAAGATCGAGTAGTTTCTTAGAACGAACAAGAAAATTCTATAAAATTTATTGTAGCCTTCCATCGAAGTTAATTTAAATATATTATCCCTATTTTCCGTACAACACAAAAATTCAGAATTTAACTACTGAAGTGGTCAAAATGACCACTTTATTCATTTTATATATTTGTAACAGTATATTTTTAGAGAATCGAACGATTTTTAGCGAAATCATGTTCTTTGTTCCATCATAAACATTTTCCTGTTTCTTCTACTTTAACTTTTCTGCTATAAATTTTATACTTTAGTCAGTAATTCCAGTTAATTATGATAAATTATTCCTCGGTACTTAATAGGTGAATTATGTTCATGAAGATAATAGATAAAAATGCATACAACATCTAAAGTGTTAATTTTAAATTGACGTCGTTTATCGATAGAAAGAGACTGTCACTTTGTCCTAAAACAGCGTAATAACAAGGAATGAAATCGGTCACCCTGTAATATTAACGAAATAGAGCTCAGCGACGAAGTAATTTTCCCAGTTAATTTTCTATCTTTATATCGTGGTGCGCGTACGTGTGTATCGTGGCAGGCTGGCTCTTCCTTTTTGGCTGTTTGTTCGTTTGTTTGCGACGCAAATATTCTTCCATTCCCCGGCGTTCCCTGAATTAGAAATTCCTGTTTTCTCGTTTTTTCTTAAGTAACGGGCAACACGAAGATCATGTGTTCTTTTTCCCCTCCGTTGAGTAGCTTTCTGCCGTGTTTTTCCCCCTCGCGACGTATATTTTTGCTTAATCAACGTGTATGTACAAGAAGCGACCGAGAGAAATCGATGTATCTCGCGAGAGCATCAATTTTCGTGGCTTATTAAATCTAATAACCTTGTTGTTAGCCTTCGTTAATAATTTTTTTCTACAAGTTTTCTTAAGAATCGCGTTTCATAGGATGTTTACGCGGATTTATTTTCTTTAAATAAAGACGTGCAATTCTGTCGTGAGGATATAATTGTTCTGGCCGAAGAAAAAATTTGGAATTTTTGAAATTTATCAATTACCAAATTCTATTTTCAAATGGATCCTTAAGCGAATTTTCAGTCTCGGTTGAATACTTATATTTAAGTAGAAATAAATGTTCCTTTAATGTAGCATTGAAAAATATCATGAGATAATAAAGGATTAAATAAATTTTCAAGTAATGATGTACTTATTTAATGATATTAATTATGATTGATAATATCATATTCATCGTAATTGTTTAACACTAGAACACTACCACAGTGATCATAATGACTAATTTATAATTTTTTAGAGTAGCTTCGCAGATTTACAATGTTGCATTTTTAGAGGTTTAAACGATTCTTGTAAATTATACGGACAAAAATGTATTGTACCATAAACTTTTTTCTATCCCTTGTATTCTAATCTCTCTGATACAATTTTTATGCTTCAGTTATCAGTTCTACTTAGAATTAAACTAGCTGCCTCAATGACACAAGCTGCCTTGATTAGTCCAAATTCACACAAAGGCACCTTCTTTCAAGAATCATCGAGTAAAATAATATGTAGCCTAAGTTCAAGTTGAGAGGGGGGGGAGGATGCTCACCTACTAACCCTAACTTTAGTCGCGAAAAGCGGCTAAGACCGTGAAGTCAACAGGTGATATTTGAAAAGTTTCGAGACATCTCGCGAGATTTATTCCTAGATTATTTTCGTGTATGAAAAGGATATCCTTGAGGATATCCGACCTTCACTGTGCCATGTCGTTAGAACGACAGAATATACTTTGTTCTTCTCTCTCTCCTGGCTTTTTTCTTGTATTTTTCATTGCAGTCTAAGCGCAACATCGAGTAATTTTACATTAACGTCGAACAATCTATCTTTTCACTGGACTTTTATATTTTCATAAATAATTCGATTCATCAGATACAGCGAAAATTTATAGCAAATGTTGACACAATTGTTTCGTCGTTGTTTGAAAATTTACGTAACCCTCTGTCATCTCATTACGTTTTACAAGGAAATTTATTGACCAAACGCAAACACCAGCTATCGAACTAAAATCGAAAGTCAATAGACGATTAAACTTAAAGTTGCTGAAAGTTACTGAATTGTTCGATAGAACTGTTAAGTAAATTGTTATAAAGTCCGTTCAACGCAAATAGCAGCCATTCTGCAAGCAAAACTTCCGGTTAAAAGCCAGTCTCCATTTCGCCGCTTGATTCTGACGTCGTTACCATTCTGTTTTTCAGGAGGAGGATTACGGTACCTACAAGTGCGTCGCGAAAAACCCACGTGGAGAGACCGATGGCACGATTCGTCTGTACAGTAAGTGTCGTTTGTTTACTCGCATTTTAAAATATCCCGTGGGAACGTTTGTCGAGTTAATGACGGATCGTCGCGCTGAGCATACCAGTTAGCTAGTTTGCAAACGAGATCCAATTTTGTCGTCATTTCGTGTCGAGAATTTTTAGGCTGTTCCCGGCATAGTCTTGATTAAATGTTATTTACTCTTCACTTCCCTGTCGACCAGCGTTCTCTCTCTCCTTGCTTTCTTTCTTTTTGTAATTAAAATGTTTAACAGTGATTGCAAAAAGTACTTGCATATCTATTATATTTATGGACTATTTAACTGAGTTCAAACATGTTAAATTTTAGTAGTTAATCTCTTATCTAAGTACTCTAAATTTTAGTTAATCTCTTATCTAAGTACTCTAACATCCGAACGTTGTTACTATTCAAGCATTCTGTGATCAAAATATTTAATAGTAATAGATGCCTTGTATTGTACTATTTTATATTATATTATATGATTATATTTTACATTATATACACGTTCGACTTTACCTTGCTTTGGCTAATTATAAGAAGACGAGATGCAAGATTCTATTAAAAGTTATATTTAATTATTCATTGACAAATCAACATTTCTGTGATTAAAAAGATTTCGTACACAAACTGGAGTCATAATAAGGCTACACCTAAAAATAACACGTACATAAATAGAAATGTGCGAAATATTCAAAGTATGATACTCGTTCTATTTCGTTTCATCAATTATGTACGTGAAAATTGAAATTTGCACAAATATTCCGAATATCCATTTTTGTGAATGTTCAGATTTACACTTTTGTCAATTCTGTATCGCGCGATACCGAAAATTCCAAAGTGCGAGAGGCAATAAACATCAAAGAAAAAAAAGAAAAAAAGGATTGGGAAGATGCTGCCGGCCCATAAATAGTGTTAAAATAAAAGTAGTGTTAAAATAAAAGTTGTTTGCCAAGTAGAGGGAGTGCGAGACATTTACCAGGAAGGCGATCGGTTGCAGAACGTTTCTCAGTCGACGCGTTCGATCTCGAATCGGATTCCACTAATTCAGGTATCCTCGGCAAGTATATACGCGCAATTAATTAACCGCCTGGAAGCCTCGAGGATCGCTTTTGCGGCGATCTATTAATCCGTGATTAAATCGTTCGCGAAATCGCGCGGAAACGCCGTTATCCTCGACTATCGTCCTGGTTACACCATTGGATTTCAGACGTTCGAGCAATTGCTACTGATTCTCACTATCGTGCAATCCCATCGAGAGCTGTTTTCAAATAGAAAAAATTAAGTTTCTTCGGCAACACCCATGTTTTTTTTTTTTTTTTTATAAAAAGAAACAAATTTTTGCGGAATACTTTAGTAAATCAACGAAATTCATCGTAGCTAGTACGACTATGAAAATTTGACTTGATCAGATCGTTTATTTTTTAAATGCTTGAATTATTTACGAAAGATGCATATTATATATATTCGTGAAATACTCAAATTTAAGAGCACTGGTTACAATTTACTTTAGATGAAACTAATCTCTGAGCCTTTCGGGAAACTGATCAATCCAATCTTCGACTAATTCTTTAATTTCGTTACACACAAACGTAAAATTGATACTCGACTCGACAAGAAACGTGACGACTCACGTTTACAAGTTCGTTTATTCAAGAATTTAAAAAAAATTTAACGTCTACGCGGTCGTCAGGTGAACGCAAGAGCGAACACTTGGAAACAAAGCACGTTTAAATAAAAATGAAGTTAAACTTTCCAGCCAAGTTAAATCACCACCGTTCTATTTACGTTCACCACCTCCAGAATCGTCACAGTTGGAACTAGAAATCGTGAAAAATAGACAGATCCTCGATTTCGTCGTTGTGCAACTTCCTCGAGAACGGCGCGCGTTCGTCGCGCTTAACGTATGCATATGGCATAAAGAGCCGGGCGTAGAAACGGGCATCCGGTGTGTAAACGCGCGTGCACGTGAACGCCACGTACGAACACGTGCGAGCGGAAGGGTGATTTCGGTGTGTTCGGCCGGTATCCCCGACGGGGAAGGACGAGAAAGAGCGTGGAGACCGCTCTCCATTAGTATGCATCGGTTTTTCGCATTAGCGACATTCAAATGAAGCGAGCGTTTAGCATAAAAGGCTACCGGGCAAGAAAAAGGCTACCGGTGATCCCCAGCAGGCGATTACCTCTGTAAAACCGGACGAAAACCAGCGGGGATTCGTGGGAATCCGCGTCCACGGATTCTCGTTCTCCTCCTGGATAAAGATGAGTCGCCTGTCCGTCAAATACTCGCAACGCGTCCACAAAGATTTCGAAGGAGTCGCGTAAAGTTTTGAGAAAACTGAAGAGAATTCTCGATGTATTTAACATAGCGATTCTTACCCAATCTCCTATATCGGTTCGTTCAGGATTATTTTTTTAGTGACGAAGATAGTACCGTGTCCTCATCACTCTTAATTTTCAACATCTTATGTGTCTTTAAGGGTTTGAACAAAATTTAACAACAAATTTTGTTAATTATTAAAGAGCAAACATAGACACTTTATAAATGTAAAATGCACACGGTTCTCGCTATAATAATCAGTGGTGATAAATAAAAAAATACTACATACGTATACATATAGAACGTAGAGACTGTAAATGATTGTGATGATTTATTACATTAAATTTTAAAACTTTTTGTGAATGTAATTTTACTTTGTACTTGACGTTCTTCAACACGGAGATAAATTGAAATAAACTCAAATTAGATGAGCCAAAATTGAACTATACATATATCTAGCTATAAAATATTTATATTAATCTAAATTAATTAATTAATATATATATATATATATATATATATATATATATATATCGTCATTATAGTCTAATTATTATTGAATAATCTTTAGTACCAGAAAACTAATTTCAAGATAGATATAATAAAAATATTAATACGATTAGTCACACACATGGATTAAATTTTCTTCGAATCTTTCAGTTTTACCGAAACAGTATAGAATGTCGAAAATTTTTAGTGATCCTGGTCAAGAATTGTACGCGTAGACAGCCTTCCTCATCAAACAACGTTTAATGTTGCTGTTGCTCGCGTTCAAACAACATCAGCTAGTTCGCCGGATGAACTATTGTTGTTTCCGATATATTGATCAGTTTCCTATTGACCTTTGCATATTGTAGGTCTCCGGCTGTTGCGATAATTAGGTCGCGGCTATTATTAACCCTGCGGGGTAAGCGAAACTCGTCTGTTTTGAAACAAGAAACTACAGAAACTGATATCTTGATGGTTTAGAAACGTTCGAAGACTTTTCGATATATAACGTTCGATTATAATATATATATGATATATGACGTTCAAAATAATGTATAAATAATTGGAGATTCACAAGCGTGAAGGATGAAAAATCGACGAGCGATAATTTTGAAATTTATTAACCTTTGGAGATCTAGCATTTCTTTTAATGGTAACAAGGATCTTTTCTCCGTGGATTTTTCTGCAAATTAATATTTTTGTTGTTTAAAAAATAGAAAATTGTTTTCTATATTAAATGTTACAAAAGTTACTATTTTATATATATTATCCTGTTATAGGAAATTAAATTCTCCCCGAAAAATATTTCCATATTCTATTCTATTATAGAAAATTGTAAATTTTAAGTACGTAAACCCTTTGCAACTTGTAATTATTTTCAAACTGTTTCACACTCATTTTCATAATAGAAGACTTCCATAATAGATCTATGAGGATAAAATTATAGTTGAGAGAGACTTACTAGAATAGAATCGACTAAAATAGGTTAGAATAGAATAGAATAAAATAGGATCGCAAAGCTATTATTATTAGACATTGGGTACTATAATAATCTAGATTCACATTACTTCATTCTGAAATTCTTGATGTGGATTACTAATTTTATTACTAAGAATAGAAATAAGAAATATAAATAAACAAATAATAAATAAATATAGATTAACAATTAACGACATTCATGTACGTTCGGACTCGCCAGTTTTGTTAAAACCGTAGGAAATTCTTTCATTTCACAAGAAATCGTCTAAGAGAATTGACGACGAGATTCTAATTGAACAGTCAGGGATTATAAAGTGTTCGGCCATAGATCTCGATGTTAGAACACACGCAACTGTATTCCAAGTGACCCATCTAACAGAGAGCGCCCGTGTAGCTGTAATTTTGAATTATTGCGCGATAGAAGCGGAGGGAGAGGAGAAAGCCGTTGAAATTAGCCGACCGCTGAAAGCCATGTCGAATAATCGAATACGTTACAATGTCTGTATATTCGAGAATCGTCCCTGATTTCAACTGCGTGTACAAAGCATCGCTAATAACTTTTATCGTCATTGATTGTTATCAGTTATCGGATGCGTGGGATTAGCGGATTAAATCTCGCAGAACGATCATTAAAAGCACTCTGTACGCTCGTTATCTAATAACGAGAAGAACGATATCAATATTCTGCAACACTCACGACAGCTGGTCACAGTGACGATGACATTGTACGATTTATCATTAGAATGATTTCGTAATCGTCCCTTTAACCGGGGACAACGAGTTAACCTTTTCAGTTACCCACCTGAACGATTTAATGTTGAAGTACCATTTCGAAAGAGAGAAATACTGAATTCGAAAAGATCAACTCGATGATTACAAGTTGAGGACTGGAGTATACGTGTTGCGATAAAATTCAAGTCGTATATTTTCGATGCTAGGGGAGTAATTTAGAAAGTAGGGTGGCACAAATTCGAAAGTCACGCGTTTTCTGTTCCATTAAAATTTAGTTGGAAAGTAAAGAAGTTTACGCTGATTATTAACCATTAATCTTTTGCAGGAATTAGAAGTTCATTGTTTTGAGTGCGATTAATCAGACTGTGTTTCACACAGTCGCTTCAAATTCGCAGACATTATATTTCTTTCCTGTGTATGGACTTCATATTTTTAAATACCTGACACAGTTCTCTTGCAGCACACATCGCCGGTCACGCAC